ATGAGATTCCAAAGTTCGAAACAGTGGACATTAGTACTCACAGGGAGCCTTGGACTGTGTTCCACATGGTTGGCAGTTTGAAAACACCAGCAACTCCAAGGGAGAAAGACTCGCTTTCTGTTCCTGTAAACAGTTAGTCTTGGAAACTCACAGTGGGGACGCTAAGAGTCAGCATTGCCTCAATAGCCATGAGTTTGTTTTGAGAGTTACAGTACTCACAGCACAGCAAGTATATGTACTTTGTGCTTGTCTTCATTCCTGTTGTCCTTTAAGTCCTGTAAGATACTTACAGAGTCGCCTGGGTAGATACTGTGTTCTCAATGAGCTTGGGTCACAAAGGAAAATCCCGAGTTTATGATACTCAAATAATTTGTAAGGGTTTGCAATGAAATCTACCTGACCTATGCTGTGAAGGATGACATTATCTTTATCATACTAGACAATAAATAAATCTGCCCTGTGCTTTGAGAGAGACATTAACTCAGCCTTCTAGGATTGTTTGCTATGCAAACATCCTTGAAAATATAGCCCCAAACTAGGACTGTCAATGCCTCTCTGCTTGAAAGATATGCAGAAATGTGAGACATTGTATTGATTCCAACTCATAGCATCCCTATAAGACGGGAAAATTTGCTCCATAATTTACTAAACTGTAAGGTTTATAGGAGCAGATTCGCAGATGATTTTTTCTGTTGAATGTTTAGTGGCTTTGATATGCCAACATTTTGGCCAGTGCCTGAGAACCTGACTATTGTGCCCCCAGAACTTCTTGACCCAACACACATGAGGAACATATTTGGAGATACATTTTACTAAATATTAATAAAAATGTCTGTGGAAATATCTATGTCTTATGGCAATAATCTTCCAACATTTATTACCATTTTAACACTTACACTTATTGTTTCATTATTACTTAGTATAGTAATTATGACACATTTTTTAAAAACTTGTAACACATATGTACTTTAGACAATAGATTTTATATGGTTACAAGGAGCCCCTACTATTAGCTCATATGTCATAATATAAAATGCATTCTGATTATTTTGAGAAGCCTGTTGTTTAGCTCATATGTTTCTTACAGGCTAGTCAGATACAGAGAGGATTTGCCAGTTAGAGTCCAGGAAAGAAAAAGTTGAGGGAAGATAATGCATACAAACCAGAGCACCTACTCTTTTTGCCTGTTTTCTATAGGATTTCCAAATAACATTACATTTATAATAACAGACTAATGCTAGGAGTCCTGGTGGTGTAGTGGTCAAGTTGGCCTATGACCCACATGATCCTCTCTTCGAAACCTTCAGCCACTCTGTGTGATAAAGACTGGGTTTTCCACTCCCGAAAACAGAGTCTTGGAAACTCACAGGGGTAGTTCTACCTTGTTCTATAGGGTCACTGTGAGTTGGCATCAACTCGATGACAAAGAGTTTTTTTGATTGCTTAGATTAAAGGGAGAGGAGGGTAGCATAAGAAAAAGAGAAGAACAGGAAGGGAAGAGAAAGGGAGGGGGAGAGAGAAAAAGAAGAAAATAAAGAGTGAAGAAATCATTGTTAAGATGATGGATATCAGATCTGTTATTCTGATAGTTTGAAAGTTGTGCAGTAGATGTTCAGAAAACTTCAGTAAAATTTTATACCTACTCATTCACTAATGATTTCAGTACCTAATATTTTGTATTTATGACAATTTAAATTTTATTATCAGACTATTTTGAACTTTAATGATATATGTCTGCCTGTCATGCATGCCGAAATGCAAGGTTAAAACACTGGCTGTGTTATTTAAGGCAATGTGTGAACTTGGATAATTCGTGATTCTTTGTGCTTTGGCAATTATATAATAATGCAATTTAGCAGTTATATAGGGATGTAGTTATTTTTCCATTTTGTGATTTTAGGTGATCATTTTCCATTTTTGCATAATGCTGATTTTCACATACCACACTCGTAATTGGAACCTCACCATGCTGATAAGCGAAGACTGGGTGTAATCTGTTTTGTAGTAGTGTATTTTGCAACTATTCTTATTTATGAAAAATAGCTACTCTGGCTGGTGACTCTGATGCACAGTGTTCAACTCTGTGCATGAGAAAATGGCAGAGCAGGTCCCCAAATAGGTTCTGTTTGTATGCCTGAGTAACATTTGTTGATCACCTACTGCAGAAGCAGTTTTCAAAAACTTGTAACCAATCAAAACCTTTTAGATAAGTGGAGAATAGAGAGTAGGGCAACATCCTCATATGAAACAGGAAACCTTCCTGATTATCGAGGGCAAAATTGCATGAAGAAGCTTGGGGACCCCATGAATCACATTGTCCGACCGATTACCAAAGAGACTTTGGCTATTGGGATTAGATACTCTGTGTGGACGAACACAATCTGAGAGCTCTGACTAGAAAAGGTAATCAAGTTAAAAACTGCAACACTAAAATTGAACTACTTGGAAACTGTGATCCACAAAAGCAACTTATTATTGAACATCCGTATTATGGCCACGACTCACTCTAACTTTGACACTGTGTCTTAGGCACTTTTGGACTGTGTGCAAGGCACTTTTGGAAAAAGCAAGCTAAAGCTGCTAAAGGCCAGCTATAAGGAGCACCTTCCCAGCGATGCTCTACATCATCAGTCGGTGCATATGTTAGAAGTGTAGTCATGTTAGTTCCATAGCTCAGAGTTGCAGCCACTTCAGTTGACCTACTGTTTCTTACCCCCAAAATAATTGTAAGTGAATATCAGTTGTGATTGGCAGAATAATAAATAGACGTCGTCTGATTCAGACAATTTTTGGGGTAGATAAAATCTTCTCAACTTAGTTGAATTTCTTCCCACTTACCCTCGTTATAAGCGAAATAGTAAAACAACAAAATAGAAAATTTTGTACGTGTTTTGCAGCAGGGTCATGTTCTGGTGTATGGGAGGTACAAATCTAAGGACTACCTTTACTTGGAAATGCTTAATTATGATGGTAATAAATAATGAAATAAAACATCACTTTAAGGTCCAGGCCAACAACCAGGCTAGTTGAGACTTTTAAACAGCCTATTCTACCTCTCCAATAAGTTACATGATATGTTAATAAAGGACAGGCATCCTCTACTTCCCTATAAACTATGTCGCACCTTTTTATCCCAGGGCCTTTCATTGAATAACAATCCCCAACTATGGGCACCCACAATCTAGATGAGATGCATTTAAATTTGCATACACTCTTTGTATAGATTTTATGTTGAAAGATAGGCAAAGATTTATGGAAATAATCTTCTGTACTTTTCATCCTTCATAATTTTTATCTAGTTTTTTTCCTTAGGAAGCCAGCTTAATTGTGCCTATTGAATCACTTTCCCTCTGAAAATTTAATTTTATCAAAAGGATACTGAATGCTGCTTAATCTTACGGTCATTTTGACAAACGTGTCTTTTTTATATGTATATTGGGTTATCTCAAATGTCAAATAGATAAATTGTCTTAGATTGGGAGAGAAATATTTTCAAAAATTGGGAGAGTACAATTACGCAGAAGTCCTTAAATATCGATATGTTAACAAGTTCTTTCATTAGGGTTTAATAAATTTATAGGAGAATATGAATAATAAAGCCTATATCTGCTTTGAGATAACTTTAATTCCCAAATAATTTGAATATATAAGTGAAGATTGTTTTCAGAATAAATTGAATATATATAATTATATATATTTATATATATATATAAATATAACTTAAGGAAAAAAGTAGCTACTGTTAGAACAAATATATTAAATAAAATGCAAGCCTAATTCATTCTGGTTTACTGGTCTGTTGCTATGAACATTTAAGATAAACCAATTCCCATATTTGAAGAAATATCTTAAACCTCTCTATGGCAGCACTTTGGTGAGATTGATCAAAATGTTGCAAAACTGGTAAGGAAAGGCCACTTCAATGCTTAGGTTACCAGTTAGGAGTGGAAAGCTTATCCATGATTGTAAAGACATTCTTTCTCCCGTCTATTGAATTTGGAGACCTGGAGAGCTTTGTTTTGTGTGTAACTTATTTCTTTATTCAGAAATTATGTTTTGTTTCTGGTAATATTGAGTGGCAGAATTATAATAAGTGTTAGTATCTTTATTTATTATTCATATCCTTAAACTATTTTTAATGTGGGAAGAAAGATTATGATTTATTAGGAGATAGAATATTCTTTTAATTTTATTATTACATCAGATATTATAGATTAGAGAATCAGAATATAAACTATCAATATTAATCTTTAAGTTTAGCACTTATGATTATTCAGTGACTTTTCAGGTATATAGGAAATTTACTTGTTTGCCTTGTCAAGTGGTTTTCAAGTGTAGTCTGATCTCAGGTTTAGTCATGAGGTCAGAATATGCTTTATGTTTAAAATAAAATTGTACAGAAATGATTCTTTATTCTAATGTCATGATAACTAATGTGAAGAAAAAATGCTATAAACTATATAAATAGTACTCCCAAATTTATAGTTTTGAGATTAAACTGAGCAGTTCTTCAGCTGTACACTTGAGGGCTCTGTAGGCTGGCAGAGTAATATTGAATTCTTATAATTGTGTTCTCAAGTAAATTGGTACCTTGTGCTTTTGCCAACTTTAATGGTCACTATACTGTTTGGCTGTATGCCATAATTAGCCTTATCTTCCTTTATTGGAACCATGATAAAAAAATCCTTAATCTACTTTCTTGGTGAAGGTGTTAGGAAAATAATTAAGTATCTAAAATGGCTCTGCAAAAATGGTTTTTACAAAGAATTTTAAAAAATCATATTCTAACCTTAATGGAATTTTCCATTTTTTGAAAGTCTAAGCATTATTAAGTGTAATCATTTTGTGTGTGTGTGTGTGTGTGTGTGTGTGTCGGGCGGGGGTGGTGGTGGCGGGGCGGGATGGTTAGTAATGAATTATTTTGTGCTCCATACAGACAGAAGCCTTTTTGTCCTTCCAAGGAGATAGAACATTAACCGTCTCTTTTCTATTTTTTTCAGGGAATCCGAGCCCGCATTTTGGAAACTTTGGTCATGCTGATTCTTCTTGCCCTTCTTATTCTCGGAATAGTGTGGGTAGCCTCTGCACTCATTGATAATGATGCTGCCAGTATGGAATCTTTATATGGTACGGGATTGCTTTGTTTAAATGGACTTCTTTAATGGAGACTATAGTTTAGGATATAGTTACACATTCACTTTTTAAAAACAGTTTAATTCTTTTTATAGTTAATTCTGGTTGTCAACTTACAGAATTAAGAGCTCTTCAGGCATGCTTATAGAAAGAAGTGTTCACCTGCAGAATAAGCAAGCAGATTTTTTTTTGTTATTGATTTTTGTTCTTAAAATTCCATGGGGCCTTTTTGTTTTGTCTTGTTTTCCTCCCTCTAGACAGATTTTGCAAAGGAGTTATTCTCTGTTCTTCTGTTTAAAATCTATTGTGTAATTTAGCAATAGATCAGTGAATTCAAATAAATTACATGGTTTAGTATACTCAAATTGGTAATAAAGATGTTTACTATACATTAAAATATAGATTGATATAGTAGGTTTTAGGTATCAAGACTTTATCAAGATATAGTAAGTCTATATGTTAATGTATAGTATGCATCATAATTTTATTATATTATAATGACTATGTTATATAGTTAGTATATATCTTAATGCAGTCTTTTGGGTTTAAAATTTATTAAAATACATTTAAATGTTTTTATAGATCTCTGGGAGTTTTATCTACCTTATTTATATTCCTGTATATCACTGATGGGATGTTTGTTGCTTCTCTGTAAGTATTTTTTCTGACAATATGGTTATGAAAATTGAGCTGTTCCGTATTCTCGAAAATAATGGGCAAGTTTATGGATACGATTTCTTAATCACTTGAGATTTAAAAAAATTGACCCTTTTATGCTGCTCAAGATAAGTTTTGATACACTGAAACCTTGGCGGAGGAAGATTCTCTTGGTATTCTCTGTGGAAAGTGTCTTCCTTGTGGTTGGAGTTAAGATAAACACATGTCACACACTCACATTCATCTGTCACAAAGGAAGATTCTGCTTTTGCTTGGTAATGGTAGGTATGTGTGGATTTTATTTCAAAATGTATTGTGCTTTACTTGAAACATCCTAATATATATAAGAGTTATTATAATTAGGTGTAGAAATAAGGATTTTACATCATAGTTGTTACTTGTCTGATTGTCAACTAAATAACTACTTGAAGTTAATTTCTAATGTCTGGTATAGTATACATGTACTGCTAAAACCATGAGTATTTCAAGCCTTCTTTCATCTTTACACATCGTTTACTGAATATAGTAATAATGCTGATGTATTCAGTTGTCCTGCTTAGCATCTTTATTGACTAAGTTGAAGAGCCTTAGCAAAGCACTGAGAAAATCTAAATTTGAGATAAGAATTTTCTAAAATGGATAATCGTTGAGTTTGTTTTACCCTATTGATTAATAGTGGGTTTTCTGTCCTACCTCTGAAATAATCATTTTCTCTATGTGGCTCATCTTTTTTTCCTGCAGTGTGTACACCAGTTGGTCTTTCCCGTATGTTCACAGTAATGGGTCAGTTGTTAGTGAAGCCAACAGTAAGTATTTTATTATCAACCATTAAATAAATGAGGTTTATTAAATAAATGAGGTTGTATTTGAGTATTTTTTAAGTTGTGGGCTAGTATTTTGAAGCATACTAGGGATATTTTTTGGTACTGATGACTCAAATTGTTGCTGCTCTTGTTTTTATTTTAGTCCTTTTCAGTTTGGAAACCGAAGTTATCATTGCTTTAAAATATTCACAATAAGCTCTCGTAAATATTCTAGCAAAATTTAAGATAAAATTTGTATATACTTACAGATATTTATGGTAACTGTGCTTTATCACAAATAATAATTCTGTGTTGTACAACTCTTCTTAATTTGATTGAACTATTGAATTGTATATGTGAACTATATGCCAATAAGACTGTTAAAAAAAGGATGTTGACTCACTGTGAATTATGTAACCAATGCCATTGAGCAATTTATGTAGTAATTGTGAAATGGAAACCTAGTTTGGCATGTAAATTTCTACCAAGTACCATAAAAGTAATTTCTAAAATTCTTAAAAAAAATAGTATCTCTGTATTATGTCCCTGAAAAGTTTCTGAATATCAGATCTTGGTTGAATTATACTTTCCGGATAAACTCAGAAATTTTATATATTCATTTTTAAATGATCTTCAGCTGGTCATAGTACTAATGATTTGGCTCTAAGTTTCTTTGATGTCTAGCTATTTTATCAAATATTCAGTATCCTGAAAATAGTTCCTCTGATGGAAATGTCCTTAACTCTTCTTTAAATTAAGCTGTTTCAAGAATCAGGTCCGATGCTACTACCATCAAGAAAACTCATCAACTTTTTTTTTTTCTTTTCAACCAGAAGTGATCTTTCATCTTCTAACTTTTTGTAACATCTTATTTAGGCCTCAGTTAGTACATTTATTTTAATCCTATAATTATTTTTTGCATTCACCTATCTCTTTTGTTATGAGCTATTTGAGGACAAGAATTAGGTTTTATCCATTAGTCCTTAGTGGTTAAGAGCATACATTTTTAAAGGCAAATAATTTTCTTTGTGAAATCTTGTTTCATGGTATATAAAGTGGGGATTGCAGTCTGTTTTCACTGGATAGTAGTAGAATTCAAGGAGAATGATTTATGCATGTACCTAACACTGCCTGATCCATAGTGAGTCCTGAAAGACATTGAGGGATATTTATATGCTATTTGTTCACATGTAAAACATACCTATGGTGATATTTATTAGACTATTTGCACAGGAAGGCAACAATTATTTTGTATGTGTTAAACTCCAAAAAAAGGTGCGCTATGGCACAAGTACTTGGCTGCTAACTGAAAGGTTGGCAGTTCAAGTCCTCCCAGAAGCGCCCAGGAGAAAGGTCTCGTGATTTGCTCCTGTAAAGATTACAACCTAGACAACCCTGTGGGGTATATATATATATATCATTTTATTGGGGCTCATACAATTCATCACAATCCATACATACATCAATTGTGTAAAGCACACTTATACATTTGTTGCCCTCATCATTCTCAAAATTCGCTTTCCTCTTGGGTTCCTGGAATTAGCTCCTCATTTTCCTTTCCCCCCT